GATGATGACTCAACAAGATAATATAAATCAGAAAGATTAAATATGTTTGAATCCAAGAGTCCCAAAATTGCTGGGGGGGTGGGGGTGGGGGGTGTGTGCGTGCGTGTGTATGCAACAAACAGGTAATAGCCCCTTTATTCCTAAGACAACAGAGAACAACATTTTTACTTTTAAATAAATTCAAATTCATGTGGGTGTACTCACCTCAGTATTTTGACATGTGTTATTCAACAAAAGCTCTTTAACAAAGCAGTTAAGAGGTCAAGTAAGTGTTATACTTACTGGTAATGTACCCATGACGGACCAAGAGTTTTCTTAAATTGAGTGAGTCCCACAATATCAATGTAAATGAGTTCTACAACTTTATCCCCCTGGGTAGGGCAGCCAGATCTGTTACCTACAACCTTCTTCATAATCCTAAACAAGAAAGAAGGAATATGGAAAAGTATTACTTTCCAAACACTCTGAATAGATGCTGTAATACTATTTATACCAATAATTCCCTTTCCCAAAAAAGCCTTCCTCTTTTCCAAATCAGGAATCATGTAAGAACATGCAAATGCTAAAGATGCTCAGCATTTCTTAAAGAACTGTTTATACATCAGTAAAGTTCTCATCTAACTTAAACAAGAGAATAATATGGTTGGGATGTTTAAAAATAGTGTGCTTCTAAATTATTTAAAATAATTTCTCATTTCTATTGACAGCTTTATAGTATGAGCACTCTGTAAAATGATGGTGCCATGTTTGTTATACAAAAATGAAAGCTATAGAAAAAGGGTTTGTGCTCAAGCATAAAGCAGATGTTTTATGCCTAATGATGAACCAGTACGCAAAGCAAGACAAAGATGAGTGAGGTAGCAATTTGACCTAACATAAGCAATTAACTACATCAAAAATAATGTGTTTAAAGGATTTAAACATTTATTTTGAAATCAGATACTCAATGAAGAATAGCAGAAACTGAAGAAGAGGACATAAAACTCGGTTAGTCTGTAACATTTCCTATTGCAGCTGGTTAAAGCACCTGGAAAGTTAAATAATAAGCTGCTTAGTTTGAATTTTACAACATTCATTTATGAAGTCTCAGGAGCCTGAAGCTACAATGAAAACACATTATCCTTTTCATAGTGCATATACTTAGCTCATGAAAATAATCTTATCGTCTGTTTAGTGAATAATCACTTTAATTTTATGCTTCAAGAAATTATATAGTGCTAATAGAAGCTTCAAGAGTTTACAATTCATTTTTTTTTTGCATTCCAGTTTCAAAAGTGAAAGTAATCTCCTTACTCCTTGAGCTCTGCCAGTGAAGCTGAAATCCTGATGTCATGGCCCAGTAAGTAGAGAGATGTAATTAAATCACTCCACTGGACTAATTCACCAAGTGGGCCACCGCTAAATGCATTTTCTGCAATCTTAAATCCAGATTCTTTTGTCAAAAGCCCCAGATGAACAAGAATCTAGAAAGAGAAGTCGTATGTTAGAGTTATCGACATTAAACGTGCAACTAGCATACCTCACAGCATTTTTTCTTTCTATTAATTCAACTATGGCCAAAAAAAAAAAACCCAACCAAAAAAAATCCAATACTCCCACACCAATCATTTAATTTTGTAATGGATGTCTAGAACAGTAGTTATAAGAATGTTACTGTATTGTTTTGCGCTGTTATATGACACCAGATCAGTAATTAAACAAGCCCCAGAAAGTGGTGTTAACCACAAAATAATCTGTAATTCTGCACATTAACTTATTATTATTGAATAACCACTTATATTCTGAAGTAGGACATACTTGCTTATGCAAGACAGTATAGTTAAGGAAGGGTATGCTGTTGTGAACAAGTGTTAAGAATTTGGAAAGACTGCGTAAGAGTAACAGGGTGCTTTCCCAACCTCTCCTCTCCATTGCCACTGGAGGAGAGTTTTACTCTGTAGTTCACTGAAATCTGTGCTTGTCTTTCTAACGAAGCACAGAGTTGAGTTCCAAACACCTTGCTACACACCTGAACTGTTATTTGAGTGTGGGTATATACAGTGCCAAGCATAAAAACTCCCTAACACCAAATCCCTCTTCCCTTGTTGAAAAGAAGCAACATTCAAAAAACCATTTTGTTCTAATCTCTTGCAGCTCCCAGAACTGAACTGGACATATTGTTGTTTTCTATGACTATGTAAAACACTTCAGTGTCATCAGCTTGCAGTAAATCCACAGTTTCTCCCTTTAGAAACTTCTACATAGTCTAAATTTTATCCAAAATTAAAGAGGTTAGAAAACTTACCCAAAGATTGACTCATGGAAAGTATGTAAAACTATTTATAAGGCAAATATGCATTGTGACATAAAATTCAAACAGCGAAATACTTTTTGAAAAGAGGCACAAGTATAAACACAAGCCTTTTAGACATATTTCCACTTTGAAGTTACTTCTGGAATGAGAAGCTTTAGAAAAGCCTATATGACTGCAAGTGGCAGGAATGAAAATTGTGTTCATTTACCTTTTTTCGTTTTCTCTTCTCCAAATTTTGTTTTTCTGCAAGTGATTTAATTGCTTCAATCCAGGTATCAGCCATTCGTCTGATGCGTAACATCATCCATCTGAATTCCTCATGTCTTGACATCATTTTGTAGAGATTATCAAAGTTGATACGAATTTCAGCCTTCAATTAAAGCATTTTTAAATTTTAAATTTTAAAGAAACCCCAAAACATTAGTTATTCTTCAAACAGTGTACCTTCCAGAAGAGAAAAAACTTTTCAAATGTGAAATCTGTGCCTTACATTCCTCATTTAAAAAAAAAATAGAAAAAAGTTAGAAAAAGTCAAGTTGAGATTTCAGTTCAAATATTTCCTGGTTTCAGCTGGGATAGGGTTACGTTTCTTCATATTAGCTGGTATAGTGAGTGTTGTGGTTTGGATTTAGTATGAGAATAGTGTTGATAACACACTGATGCTTTAGTTGTGGCTACGTAGCGCTTACGCTAGTCAAGCACTGTTCAGCTTCTCGTATCCTGCCAGCGAGAAGTTGGGAGGGGGTATGGCACAGCCAGGACAGCTGACCCAAAGGGATATTCCATACCATATGATGTCATGCTCAGTATTTCAACTGGGGGAGTTGGCTGGGAGCACCACAGCTTGGCGACTGGCTGGGCATCGGTCAGGGGGTAGTGAGCAATTCTATTGTGCATCACTTACTATGTGTATTCTTTTATCATTATTATTTTATCTTCCCTTGCTGTGCTATGAAACTGTCTTTATCTCAACCCACGAGTTTTAGCTTTTTTTTGATTCTCCTCCCCAACCCACTGGAGGGGAGATGGGAAGTGAGCAAGCAGCTGCATGGTGCTTAGTTGCCAACTGGGGCTAAACCATGACAAAAGCTGGTATTTTTAAACAGACTTTTCTAAGCTACATAAATTTATGTTATTTTTATTAGTCGTATTTGGTAGCCCCAGAATATGTTTCCAGTATGTCACAATGTATTTACTTCTGCAATATAAGATTTAGTTTTTTTCATGTCCTTCATAATAGAAGTTAAAGTATCTCTAAAACACAATGTAAAATCAGAACAGTATGCTGAAGATTCGTGTACATCATGAATCTTCCAAATACAAGGCAATCTCCTCTTATACCATCAAGGAAGAAACATTACTAGAGTATAAATTTTAAAGGAAATATTCCTTTTAAAGCTAGACTGTCTAAGAACAATTGGTTTTATAAAATGAGACAGCCTGTATCTAATTTATGTAAGCAATGTTCATATACAGCGCAGCAATTATCTTAAAATACCTAAGTGCTACCTAATTACACTATAAGAGTTTAGAAACAACTCTGTATGCTGTAGGGTTTTTAAAAGAAAAAAATTAGGAGTAATCAAAATGTTACTACAAAACTGATATGCATAAAAGCCTCTTCCATTAAGGCATTTTTATATATAAGGCCCAGATTCATGGGACAATAAAAATGGACAGTTTCACATACAGTCACTTAACAGTGGTGAATAGTCTATGGATTTGCAAGTTTTCTCAGTATCTGTGTACAATATTCCATAAATTTAACACAAAAATGTTTTTAATGGAAATCTACCACCACGACTGCAGCGCAGTACAATGATGGGAGAACCTACACGATGAGCTACATAGATACAGTCAAGGATATTTTCCTTCAGTTTAGAGGAGCTGAGGAATAAATATGGTAAATTCTAGTCTTCTTAACATTTATGTGGCACAAGATTCCAGGATCTTTTGTATGAATCACAATTACTTAATTGTTTCTTGTGTTTTAACATTGTTCTTACCACTGTTTTTTGATCAGTTTCTTCATTAGGATTTTTTGCTCTCCAAGGTAAACGAGGACACCAATTTTCAACCTGTAAAACAATCCCATGAAAATAAATCATTCTATTCTACTTTCATCCTATCTACCATTCTCTCACTGCCTTTATATTACACCTTTCTATGGCTTAAATAAGGCATCAGCTGATTAGTAAGTCAGTGCAAGGCAAAACTGCTTTTTGCAAGAAAAGCTTAAGAAGACCTTTTGCAATTCAATACTATTTTAGCCTTGCAAATTTGTAACCAAAAGTCACATTTAGATATTCATTCATGATAATTAATACAGGAGTTAAAACCCTTTCAAGACAGAGGTCAGCTGTTAAATGCTCTAAATACAGTTTCTCTGAGCAGTTCCTAAATGTTTTCAAAAAACACTAAGTATTTATGCTTCTAGACCTTAAAAAATTACATATTTTGGAACATTTCCCATCTCCCTAAAATATCTTTATAAAAGGGCAAAGCCTGATAAAACCCAAGGATCAAAGTTCTACCTTGTAGCAATCTAGACAAAAAGTTGAAAGAAACATAATACCAAAACCACCCTATTTGAAGAGTATAAGTAACTATATAACTATATAACACAATTATAATGTAAGTAACGACATCCACAAGTACTAATAGCTGTAATTCTTACAGAAACATAATCAGTGCAAATGCAATACTTCTACTATTGTCAACTAGAAAAAAAAAGTACAACAGCTAGTTAGGGAAGAAACAGCAAATGGATATGAGTCACTGAAAACTCCTGTGCTCTTCCCCTAGGGATCTTGCCTGTCTTGTAGAATCTTTACCATTCACGTGCCTTAAGAAATTAGCCCATTCACTTAGGGGAAGAAGGAATCTCACTGTTGGAGGGAAACCCATGAAAGCCAGAACATAACTGTACTGTGAACAGGGAGAAATGCAAAAATTTATAGACCAGCTAAGATACCCTATCACTACTGACTACTTAGGGTTCCTCCAGTAACAGACCTGTTGAAACACAATTTTAGCTTAATCATGCTGCAGTAAGCCTGAAGCATTAGAGATTAAAAGCTTAAGATCACCAAATGATTGCCTAGAAGACGAATCACATGAGAATAAATTAATAGACATCCTAACCTCATTAAAGAAAAGAAATGTATCAAGCTTCGGTTCCTCAGACAAATTATATAGAAGCATTAATTTAAATGCTATGACTTAATCTACTCAATATATTTAATACAACATTTGAAAGCAGTCACTTGATCAACCTCGTCTGAAAACATCTGATTCTTCAGTGGTCTCCAACTCTGGAAATGTACTAGAAACTGCAGCAACTAACAATCCTAACTTCTACTAACGTAAGTTGTGGAATCACTGGTAGAAGAGAGTTGCAAGCTCCGTATTACAAATCATGCACAGTCCCAATCTCCCTTTTTTTTTTTTTTTTTATAGTACAAATAATTTTGAATTATTCCTAGCATTAAAATTGATCTATATTAAGATATGACATTTCAAGGACTACTGTACGTGCCTCTTTCCTGGCTTCACGTATTTCACATCACACCATCAGGCATCCTAAAGGAATTGAAGATTTTTCAGAGCTGCCAAGGACAGTTAGCAGAATGCCTCACTGACTGAAACACAACTCCAGTTCTTTTGTGCTTTTAGAAATATTCCCTCTACTCTGAATTACGTTACAGCAATTCTAACCACAAATAAACACTTAAGGATTAGACTCAAAGTAATATCAGTGTATGCAGTTCGTCTAGCACTTGTTTTTCCTTATTGATATTCAGTCAATTCCTTTTTTCATTGGAAAGAGCAACTCAACTTACCAGAGGATTTTTGAATACACACTCTTCAAAGTATTCTTATTTTTGAGAGTGGTAAGTGCACTGGGAAGAATGCATAGGCATCCTCTTATAGAAAAAGGAAAGATTTCTGCCCATTTTTATAAGCCAATGGCTCACAAAGAGTTGTTATATGGGCAGATAATAATTAACAAGAGCACCGAGAAAGCAAAGATGAAGCAAACAAATCTGTCATACCATGGGAAGGGGAAAGAAGAAAAAACCTTATTAATTTAATGTATTGACTCAAGGGGAAGTGGGGACAGAGAGGCAAAACACTGACAAACTAGCCAAACTAGAAACTTTAATAGTGAATTCCAGGTATTCTTGGGCAAAAAAGATCACGGGTATGCACTGCCCTAAGACGGAAGCAAAACCAGACAAAATGCTAATACAAATGCTGTTGTTCAGAACATGAGTTAATTTTGCAGATAATTAACGAATCAACTGGAATTACTAAGTCATTGTTCCAAGAGAAACTGAAAGGAAAATCAGAATACGACGGCAGCACGCAGAACACTCAAATACCCAACACTGAAGCTCATGCACCAGAAGTCACTCCTGGATCATAGTAGATATTATCAGGTGGATACAGAGCGAAGAAAGCAGAAGTGAAAAACTACAGCAAGGAAGTCTACACAAGTCATAACATTTGTATTTAGAGGTACCTAGTACTCAAGAAATACCACACTTCCAACAAAAACAAAGTTTCAGAGGGAACAGGGATGTTTCTCTCCATCCCCAGTTCTTGCTTCCCTGTTTAGTGAGAGCTACAGATGATGAACAGTCTATATACACTTTGGTAAAAGGGAGAGGGATTTCAACCTATGCAACTACACAAGGTATCTACGACTTCAGAGACAGCCTTTGTAGAGCTGTTGGAAAAGGAAACTATAGACTGACAGGCTGCTTCTACAGAATTAAAAAGCCTGCTGATTCCATGATATTTACGCAAGATATGTAGCAGGCTGCTAAGTTTTTTTTGCTTCTTTCCTCAAAATACACAGCAACAGCATTTTTATATGTATTTCAAGTAAAAAGCTTCCAGTTAACTGTGTTTTGCATTGCACTATGTAAAATTAAGGTCTACAGAGTACAAAGTAAAGACTACTTAAAAGTCCGGTAAAGAAACAGAACTCAATATTTTGTGTCAGAATTAAAAGCAACAGCTTGCACTAACCCAGGTAAGTAGCAAAATGAACTTTTTAGCCCCATGTAACGATACATAGTACAGCAGAATACAGACTATTTCTCCTGCATCATTTCTGAAAGATGTGTAAAAATAATCTAAATAACCGTAATTGTGGGCCTTTTTCAAGACAACCACTTTCTGCTCTTTCATTACTTGGCCTTCCTCTCTTGCCCAGTGTACCAGTATTCAATTCAAACTGAGCACTTAAGCATTTCCTGTCCAGAACATGCGATTTCTCACCTATAAGCCTAGGAACTACTTCTAATTGCAGCTCTTGGCAGGACCTACAGTTTCATGAGAACTTCAGATGACCTAGAAAGTGGGTGGGAGGGTTTTTTTGTTTGTTTGTTTTTTAAAGAACCATGTATTGCCGCTTTGGCTAATCGCTTTAGGGTTTCTCATACAGAACACCACAAGAATGCCTATAACTAAATATGAAACTTATGTGGTTAAGTAATTTTCTTGGTTGCCTTGCATGACCCAAATATGGGTATCTCTAGATGCACTCATCATTTCTGAACAAGTCCTGCAGCTGTTCTTCTCAGATTCAGACTATTAACCACTGCCATGGGAACTTTTTGAAAACAAAGGTGGGTGCTACAGTTATTGAAAAATGCGGGAGGATGCTCATGATCTTTTTCCCAGCAGATACCGGTGAAAACGTAATCCATTTCTCTCAGACTATTTGAAGTAAGATAAGTACAAGTCAGGTTTTGTTTCAGTGAGTACTAACTTCCAACTATAGATATGGGAGAAAGAAAGGTAAGGAATGTCTAGAACTGCTCAGATTAGCTTGAGTGGAGGCCTTAAATCTCCTTCATCTTGTGTGACAAATAAGCACCAAGTGATGCAAGCTCTGCGAAAGCACCTGGTGCCCTGAATTTGCTTTTCTCCCCTTGCTCCCAAACTGCCTAAAGAAAGCCTATCAGCTTTCATTGACACTACCAGGGACGAGACAGATATAGGGCAGGGAATGTAAGGGAAAGAATTAGGGGCTTTGTTATTGTCATGGTTTCAGCTGGGATAGAGTTAATTTTCTTCCCAATAGCTGGCATAGTGCTGTGTTTTGGAATTGGGGTAAAAATAATGTTGATAACACACTGATGTTTTCAGTTGTTGCTGAGCAGTCAAGGACTTTTCCGCTTCGCATGCTCTGCCAGCGGGGGTTAGGAGGTGGATGGGGAGCTGGCGGGGGCACCGCCAGGACCGCCGCACCCGGCCAGCTGACCCTGACCCCGGCTGGCCAGAGGGATGTTCCATACCATATGACGTCATGCTTGGTTTATAAATTGGAGTTGGCCAGGGAGTGGGAATCACTGCTCAGGGACGGGCTACCGATCACTGGGTGGTGAGCAATTGTTGCTTACATTCCTTTATCAGTATTATTATTATTATGATTATTATTATTATTTCCTCTTCCTTTGCTGTTCTATTAAACTGCTTTTATCTCAACCCATGAGTGTGTTTTCCCAATTCTCTCCTCCATCCCACCTGGGGCAGGGAGGTGAGAGAGCAGCTGTGTGGTGCTTTAGCTGGGCTAAACCACAACAGTTTTGCAATACATTTTCTGGAAGCTCCTAATACAGAAGAGGGTGGTGAGGTGGGAGTCAGGGGTGAACCTGCTTTGGTTGATAGGTCCTAACAAAAAAATTTGCAGAAAATGCAACAGCATTAAAGCGTAATTTGTCCTGGACCAGGAATATTTGTCATCAAATAACATGTACAACGGGAAAAAAAAGTGTGAGTGTGTATACATACAAATGTATGCATAGATGTGTATGTATATGATTATAAACAGGAAGATAATACAGCATGTGCTAAGGCTGCAGTATGCAGTTACAAATCTGGTATTGTTCCATTCAAATGCACCTTTACTCTGTCATTGGCAATGATGACAGAAAGGGTTATGATATCACTAAAGCGGGTCTAGATGAAATCTCCATGAGAAATGTACAAATACTTCAGCTTTATATTTGGTTAGGTACAGAATATCCATATGCAACAAGTCCTAAGTTTGAGCAACGGGAAG